GTTTCGAGAAGCTTTAGGTACCATTTTGTAGAGCGAGGTTCAGCTTAGATTTACAGTGTAGAGCGGATCGCCGATCTCTCATTCTTACTGTAGGATTACGGTAGAAACTTCGAAGAGGGCTTTGAGCCATGAAAGGCCATATTTTGTTCCAAAAAGAAACCAAAACAACCTGAAAACTCTCCCACTGGGCCAACTAGAGTTGCTGATTCTAAATGTGGAGTTCGAAACTCTTCGTAATGCTTCATTAAAAAATTATGCGAGGTAAGCAGTAGCAGACGTTTTTTAAGTGTTCCTAAAAAGTGCGGTTACACCGTTTAGAAAGCTTCTCAACCTTGTAAAGAGTTGGGTATTGAACTCAGGGTCTATAAAAACCCTATTACACAAATTTCCACATTTTTTGAAAGTTTTTGAAACAGCCGCTTTTTTCACAGTGACACCATATGTTTGAAGTTTCTACCGTACTCCTACAGTAAGAATGAGCGATCGGCGATTCGCTCTACACTGTAAAACTAAGTTGAACATCGCTCTACAAAACGGTACTTAAAGCTTCTCGAAACATTTCACTACAAGAGAGTTATTTACAATCAAACAGTGTGCACATTTTTTGGGACACCCTATATGTAAAGCAGAAAATTTGTAAGTTTGTGCACATTCCCCGCAGTCACGTAATCACGCCAATTTGCAACCCTGCACATACTTACTTACTTAGATACTTAGATGGCTCGTCCTCACGTGACGTGCGGGCCCCAGTACAGAAGTCGCCAGTTTTCCCTGTCCCTCGCTTCAGACATCCACGATCTTCTTGGCCGTCGTCGGTGGCTGCGTTCACGAGTTCCAGGGGCGAAAGTCGTATCCAGCTGATTTCTCAGCTGGTCCATCCGTTCCACGAACACGTCTGCCCATCTCGGACGTTTGGCTTCGCGAGGAATCCACTCCGATGTTCTTAGTGTCCATCTGTCGTCTGTTCTTCTCATTATGTGACCGGCCCATCGGTGTTTGGCTTTCGCGACGTATTCCGCTGGGTCACGAAGACGGGACATTCTTCTCATATCCGTGCTGCGAAGTCCGACTAGATGTTGCTTGCGTCGGGTCATCTTCAGAAGACTGCGCTCGAGCGCTCTGTGGGTGGTCCGTAAAGCTTTCGACGTGGCTACAGTGTCGGCCCAAGTCTCAGCTGCGTAACAGAGCGCCGGGAGAACGGTTGAGTCGAACAGGTGGGCACGAAGCTCCGGGTCCGTCAGTTGGTCGGTGGCTTCCTTCAGAGGCCCGAAGGCGGCCCAGGCTGCTCTTCTTCTCCTGTTAAGTTCTTCCCTCAAGTCGTTCTCCATGTTCATCGAACGTCCGAGACACACGTAGGAAGACGTCTCCATAATCGGGGTGCCTTCCAATTCCATTTCTGCATCTTCGCAAAGGGCGTTCTTCATGAACTGAGTCTTCTTCCGATTTATTCGCAGTCCGATCTTCTTCCCTACTTCGTTTAGTTCCTTCAGCATCGTCTCTGCTTCGGTGATACTGCTCGAGAAGAGAACGATGTCGTCCGCAAAACGAAGGTTGGACAGGAATCTCCCATCAACTCGTATGCCTCTCTCGTCCCAGTCCAGTGACTTCATCACCCACTGCAAGGCCGCGGTGAACAGCTTCGGCGAGATTGTGTCGCCTTGTCGGACCCCCTTCCCGATTGGTCAGGGGGCGATGGAATAGCTGCATCGTCGTTGTACAGTCCTTGTAGCAGTCGGCTAACATCCTCACGTAAGCTGGGTCCACTCCTTGGTCGACTAGCGCAGACAGGATGGCGTTGGTTTCGACGCTGTCAAAGGCTTTCTCGTAGTCGACAAAGGTTAAGACGAGAGGCAGTCGGTACTCCCGGCAGACTTCTATGACCCTCGAAACGGTCTGGATGTGGTCCATGCAGCTGAATCCTTTGCGAAATCCAGCTTGTTCTTGGGGTTGGGCTTCATCCAGTGTCCTTGATATGCGAGCGAGGATAATCTTCGTGACAAGCTTGTACAGCACACTCAGCAAGCATAATGCACGGTAGTTTCGAAGATCCTCCCGTTACCCTTCTTGAAGAGAAGGACGGTTCTTGACGTTCTCCACTGGTCGGGAATCTTCTCCTTCTGAAGGTAATATGTCAAATGCGACGCTAGAATCTCGTGTAGACGATGTCCTCCGGCTCGCAGAAGTTCGACGGAAAGATGATCTGGTCCTGCCGTGGACGTCTTCATGGTCTGTATCGCGATACGCACTTCAGCAGGTAGAATTCGTGGTGGTACTTCTCCAGTGGGAACAACGGGCATTTGCAGGGTGTTGATGAGCGGAAGAGGTTGGTGTAGAAGTTCTTCGCGATAGATTCCATCTTGTATCGGGAGGAAGTCGGAGTCCCGTCTTGTTCAGTAGTGCAGCCAGCGGTACGTGATATTCGCAGAGGTCCCTTCGGCACTTCTTGAGACTTCGTCTTCTTTCGGCTGCTTCCAGTATCTTGGCTTGCCTGTACTTCCTGAGATCCTCTTGCAAAGCTGTTCTGCAACTGGCGTTGGCTATCAGTCGCTCGAGATGAGTTGCATTTGGATCCTGCCTCAATGATCTTCTTCTTTCAAGCAGTTCCTTGGTTGTCTTCGAGATGCGGTCCAAGTTCTTCTCAAAAGTCACTGAGGCGCATTCTCCGCAGGCTCGCAATCCTTTCAGAAGCCGGTCGTAGACGTACGTTGGGTCCTCCTCGATGGGCCAGTCACAACTTGATATGAGCTCTTCCAGCCTGTTACCGTCATAAACGACTTCCTTCCTTCTCAAGGCACTACGACAGACTTTCTTTTCCAGCCTTCGGCTGAGTCGTATCTTCGCTCGAAGGAGTCGGTGATCGGAGCCACTGCAGAAGGATGGAACTACTGAGACATTGAGCAAACTCCACCTTCGGTTGGTGAGAATGTGGTCGATCTCAGCATGAGTCGTTCCGTTGGGCGATTCCCAAGTCCACCGGCGATATTCTTTCTTCATGGAGATGGAGTTTCCATGGAAGAGTCGTGCGGCGGAGAGGAGCCCAACGAGACGGTTGCCGTTTTCGTTTCGGAGCCCATATCCAAACTTCCCGATCCTATATTCCTTTTCTAGTGGCATCCCGATTTTCGCATTGAAGTCGCCCACAACATACTTGTAGAAGGACTTTTCGTTGCGGACGACCTCCTCCACGTCTTCGTAGAAAGCATCTAGTTCTGAGTCGTCAGCTGCTGATGTTGGCGAGTAGCAGTTGATGATGCTGATGGTCTTCTGACGTGGAGGGCGTAGTCGTAGGGTGCCTAGTCAAGGTGATAGGATCTCGTGCGAATCGACAAGATGGACGATAGATGGATGGACGACAAAGCCGACGCCTCCCACGTTTCGTGATGGAACCTTTTCACCACGAATGATGAGGGTCCCATCACTCATCTGTCGCACGTCCTTCTTCCTTGACTTCGTTTCCTGCAGAGCGATGATGTGGTAGTTGATGTGCTCTGCAGCGTCGAGAAGAGCGTGGAGGTCGGCGTTTGTGGAGACTGTCCTGGCGTTGTAGGTGCAGAGCATGAGGCAGTCTCAATGGCGTGTCGTCCGGGCAGACGTGTCGTTTTTGTCCAATCCGAAAGGCGCCCTGAGTACCCTGACATCGTTCTTGCTACCACCCGGCGCCGTAGGCGGGATACGATGTGCAGGGTTTCTTTCTAATCTTCTAACTGGAGGAGTAATATGAATTTTCCCCTACAAGAGGTGGCTTACTAGGCCTACTCTTGATTTCCACGGGGCGATCGCTGACCCCGGCCTTGGAGCGGGGAGGGATCGCCTAGCGACCAGAAGAAGCCAGACGGCGGAGGATCTGGCGTGGCCAGTTCTTAGCTAGGCAGCCGGCCGAAACCGGAAACGTCGAACTCCTTCACAGCTTGGGAGGCCCTACCAGAGTATGCACTCGGCTGTGCATCGCAGTTCGACACCCAGTGTCACCCCACGCCACGATGAGGCGACCGACCATTGTGGGGGACCCTGCACATTATATAATTATTATAATGTGCAGTGTGTGCAGGCTGTGCAGGGTGTGCAGAGTGTGCAAGGTGTACAGGGTGGGGAGAGGGGTAAGTGAACGTCCTGGTTCGAATACATTATTGACAGGGCCGGGCGGAGCCGGGTTTGCCAGCTTGTAATGATATAAGTTAATGGGATGAGGCAAAACCCTAGAAAGTGTGAGAGTCACACCCTTTATGGTTGTGCCACACTCCATTAACTTACCTTCATTAGAACTTATATCGAATAATGTGTCACAGTGTCATAGTTCGAAAGCCTAATTTTGGTAATTTTCACAGCAGTAAACTGAGCCTTAATCATCTTTAACCGGAATAAGTTGCTGAAAGCACAATCGTTTGTAGGGAAAAATTGGACAGACGAGATTTTGGTCAGCTCCTAATTCCATAGTTTGGTCCTTATTCGAATCGGATTCTTTATAATGACAAAGATAGAATAGTGCTTTGCATTTGGTGCAAAAAGAGTTGACTGATTCATCTTAAAACAAAGCTAATGACTTTCACTTGAGTGTCCCAATAGGAAACCTCGGAATTCCCTAGAACTTAGTCCACACGGGCTACTTAACATGCTAATAACGATATGCTACTTATTATGCTTGTTAAGGGCTCATGATGCCTACGTATAGAGGAGAATGCTGGGTAGTTTTTCTTTTCTTTGAAAAAATCAGCGGCGGAGTTGCAGCCGGCGGTCTTTGCCACAACTCTTGCTCAATCCTGATCACTGTTTAGCGTAATTTGTCTACATACAGCAGTTTGGTCTCCTTTTTATGTAAATCATAGATAAATAAGGCTGTAAGAACGTTTTTGTACGTTGAAACGTAGTTCATGCGAGTCACCAGACACAGATCTGTCTGGTTTTGGCATATCAACCTGGAGATAAACAATGAAGTCTCCCAAGTGAAGACACCTCCAGCATAAAATTGATGTGTAGCTTGGATACCTAAGCCGCTTTTGCAGTTCTTCAACAAAAGGCTGATTGGTGCGAAGATGTTGTCGCTACTCAAGAAACCTGTGGTGAACGGAACAAATTACGTGCAGAAAGATGTTGCTTTCGGTCATGGCTTTATGTACCATCCACCAGTCGTAAGCGAAGTGAGTTGAAACATGTATGCATATGCGCTCGATGGAAGTGAGACTTCATGATCAAAAAAAGGTAGATTATCAAGAATAGGAGCAAGTGAAAGGCCCGTAGTAAATCTCACATCAGTGCAACTCGACTGGTGCGCACCTACATTGAACGTAGAACGTCTCAGTCCAGCATCCAGTGAGCTATTGATCCGGATGCGGATCGCCTTCTAATCATGACAATCATGTGTGTTCTTGAAAAAGAAACCACTTGAGCCGGTTTGGTCGAACAGGTAAGCGACTGGAATTGAAAGCGCGCGGTCATGTTCCAACACCGGCTAGCGTCACTTTTTGCTGTATCGCCTGGCGTCTTTGATAGCGACCACTATCGCAAAATCGATAATGACCGCTATCAAGGATTCGCCTAGCACATGCATGGATAAAACAAAAACACATTTTTGACGAAATTTTCATGAAAAAATGGAATGGTTGCAACATGAACTCAATGAATCAATTCAACTAATTCTTGTCTTGAGCAAGTTTTAGAAAAAAGTCAGCAAACTTTACAAAAAGAAAAAAATCTTTTTTTTCTACGCCAAAATCAGCTGTTCATCGATTCTCTCCTTTCGGACCCCGGTATTGTGCAGTTTTGCGCCGATTTTGTTCTCAGTGTTAGGCAAACTGATGTGTATCGTAAGTTACTCAGGAGTAACTTACGCGAGTCTTCTCTGCCTCTTCTCTTTTCCACACTATTTGCATTCGTCTAACATCAGTTGACTGCAGCAGGTGGGCGGATGACCAACTGTCAGTTCACTAGCCGTGCTTATAGCATGGGAAGGTGGGCGGTCATCATTTCACCCGACGTAAGCTCAACTAATGGGTTAAGTTCAGTTCACATGAACTGTTCGAACTTTTCTACGGGCCAAAGTTCTCTGCAGCAACTGAAAACTGTAAATGCTTTTGCAGTCTAACCAATGTAAAAGTAAGGCAAAAACTGAGGCGCTCGCACATTTGCTTGAAAGGGAATGGTCAGAAGGGGATGTGGCTGATCTTAACAAGCTCCATGCCATTCAATGCAGCATGTAACGCTGATTTCAAATCTGTTTTGTCTGCCGAACGATTCTGTAGGCAAAGTTATAAGCAGTCTTACCGCCAAAGAATTGTACAGAAAAATGGCGAAATTGAGCACGTTATTGTTTTTTTTGGCTCAGCTTTTTTAACCTAGCTGCATGCTTTGACTCAATATTAACACGTTTCGGACCGCGAAATCGCGCGCGGCGAAAAAGAGAGTGCTCTCATCCGTTAGCCAACAAAGGGGCCTCAATTCGTAGACTGTGTGCTACATCTGTAATCAGCATGTCAGGTAAGATCCATACCCAAAGTTGCGAGGGAATTCGAAGTGTTTGATTTTGTCGCCTGAGAAGGACTTCTTTGCTTTCTTGAAAGATAGAAACAAGAACTCAGTTTCTAATTGCATCCAAAAGTATCTATGTTGTACACAATACACATCATTATCGGACCTACGGTTTTTCTCTTTGAATTCGAAGCAAAGAAAAGTTGCGACGTCGCACGCGTCATTCGCGTTGCCGCACTTCGTTTCAACTGTTGTTCGAATTGTCCTCATATCTTCTAAACAAATATCGGCGGCACAGCCTTATAGAGTCATTTGAGAAGAAGGAGCTTAGGCCTTTGACTTGATAACCTTGGACAAAAAGAAAACCTCTTGTAAACACTAGAAAGATCTCTCAAAGACGCGTGCTGCACCATGTGCAGCACCGGTCCGAAACGTGTTAAGCCAGCCGAACATGGCTCCATACGCAAATTTGCCCTTTGCTCGCACTATTTCTCAGAAAAACGATGACCTTCAATGACTTGTAGCTTCTTTAGCAAAAATGTTTTGTCGTTAAAGAAGGCAAATTCGAGGTCAACAATTCATGCTGCCTATTGGTATGCAGCTTCTTTGGACTATCCGTTTCGACTTTTGACCATTTCCTTGTTATATCCTAACCTGTCCTATCCTGTCAAGGTACCATGCAGGTGGAAAATGTCAGACTAGTGGCTTTGGAGAAAAAAGCAAAGCGAATGCCACATAGTCCTCGATTACGTAAAGAAGTCACTGTAGGGATGATTTGCTTGCAGAACTGCAGTACAGTCTCATCCTATGAATTAGTTCTCTGCGAGTACTAGTATGCATTGTCATTTCACGTGTAATGCTTTGAGCGTGGTGCGTACAAACGCAAATAAAAGTAGGACATAAAAACTATAGAAACTTGTGTGAACAAAGGTTTTTTGCATCAGACAAAAGCTCTTGTATCGTCTTTTCTCAAAAGTCTCATAAATCTGATTCGAATTGGTACTTCATGTACAATCAAAGCTTCATATGTTCTCCGTGAAATCTGAGCACTGTGTTCACTATCATCTATGATGTTTTGCCATACAACAGTTTGTCATAGGTCTGTTGATTCAGCTTGACGTTTTGGCGGAAATGATTTCCTTGGGCCTCGGACAGAATTCACGCGATTTGATCGTCGCGATTCAATCGCTACAAGGGCCGGGCATACTTCAGGCGATTTCAGTCGCGACGCGATTTGGCAATTCGCCAGAATTCTTCAGATTCAACACTAGCAAACTGCACATGCATAGTGTGTATAACTTACATGGCTTGATAAAATGCCCTATCTTTTGTACATTTGAAAGGTGTTTACAGTGAATTATGAACAGTTGGAATATTGCCAAATCGCGTCGCGACTGCAATCGCGTGAAGTATGCCCGGCCCTACAGACACGTGTTACGAGTTCATTACATGTCGATCTTCTTGCATTTGGTTGTGATAGTTTTCCAACACGACTAATCTTGACTAACTATCACAACCGAATTACAAGAAGATCGGCAGGCAGTGAATTCCAACACTTGTCTATAGCGATTGAATCGCGACAATCAAATTGCGTCAACTCTATCCGAGGCCTTAGAAGCGTGAAAGATAATCTTGCTGACTTAAATATGTCCTCATATCATGGCCAGAAACATCGAGAGACCAAAAATTGCAGACTTTGGCTAAAGCATGATTTGCTCGCGCACTTAAGTTATTAGAACTGCAAAGCTTTGTATCTATAGCTATAACATTTCACGAACACAATCACCACACTTTTTTGACCTGTTTTTGTTCCTACTTCTAATGGCGGAAAATGCAGTGATTGTAAGTATTATTTATTGTTTCGTAAGAACAGTATATGAAGAGCTGCCGACGCAAAATACAAGACACTACGGTTCAAAGGCAGTGGCTCGGCAAATCTTCCATCTGTGGTTGTTTCACTGACCGGGGCTAATTAGGAGCGCTAAAATGGCGAAAACCGGCATTTCCCAAGGCCTTCATTTTGAATTCGGGCAGTGGTACGTTTCCTGCCATGGTTAGAGACGTGAGTCGTTGTGGGACCCTAATGTTCATATCATTGGCGCCTCTGACGGCGTGAGGGATATCGCAAGCTCGAGCGCTTGTAAGAACAGCTTGCGCTCATTGGTTTAGGGCCAATTTTCTAGGAGCAGCATGCTGTGCGCTCGGACCTGCCCGTTCTCATGTTTGGGGTGCAAGCAACCTTCCACACTAAAATTTCCAGATGTTTGATTTAGCCGAACCACTGCCTATAATCCCCTCAAACAATCGCTGGGGGCAGGCGGGCACCGGAAAAATAGATGGCTGATTTCTCGCACCCCGCTCGCGGATTTTTTGGAGAGCAGTCAGGACTTTTCGGAAGACCGCTTGCTGAGTCAGCGGATTTTTGAGAGACCGCTTGTTGAATTTTTTTTCGCTCTTACCTTTTGCAGATATATTGCTGAATCTCTGAGGAATCGAGAACTCAGCAAGCGGTCTTCCGAAAAGTCCTGATTGCTTTCCAAAAAATCCGCGAGCGGGGTGCGAGAAATCAGCCATCTATTTTTCCGGTGCCCGCCTGCCCCCGGCGATTGTCTGAGCGATGAGGTTCAAAGAAAGAATAGGCGCATGTTGTCAAGATCCCCTCTACAAAGCTGATCAGCTGCTCAATCCGACCAAAGCAATTGTCCATCTATTATAACATTGTCTGTCTCTACATCATGTAAAGCAGAAAGTGTATGTGTTCAAAGCTTCTTTATGCTTACTACAGACTTATGAATGCGTGAAACGTGAATTTCATGCATGAATCGATTAATGAAACGTTGCATAGCTAATTTCGAATCCGTAGCTTGCCGTGAGCTACTTTTTGAGCAAATTTGCTGGGCTCTTTATTAATTTACCAGTGCGTCACCTCTGCTTCGCAGAGGCTCGCACTGGCCCTATTTTCTGTATGCCTTACTCATTCCCGCATAATAATGACATTGAAACTCACCGCCGCGCTATGTAGGCTAAGAATAATTCGTAAACAACTACTCATTCGTAGAGGTTTTCATGTGAGATCGGTATTTTCGCGTGATAAAATCTTTCCCAGAAGAACAGATGCAAATTCGAATAGGTTTTTGGAATTTTTATGGCTTGGTAGTCGCCGTAAGGACAATAAACATAGTGGCCTACATCTCTGTGCAAAAATCTTCTCAAATGATCAGGTAAAATCTTGAAAAATTAACCGTTTACACAGCGAATGCTTTTTGGCGCTGTTTTCGTTAAGTAGTAGACTTTTCATTACTTTTTTAGGCTAACGTCCATGGCTTGCACAATAGCTTGTCAAATATATCCTTAACTCTGCAAAGTGTAGTACTACGGACCCAAATTTGCTGGCCAGAAGCCAAGTGGATCCGTTTGACGCGCAATTTTCAATGGATCCACTCAACGAATCCGCTCATGCTTTTGCATAGTGAGCTTCCATGCTGGAAGCGTGCGCTATGCAAAATTTGGGCTCAGAACGTTGGCTGGAACACGCTCTACGAATTTCGTGACAGACAGAGATTCACACACACACACACACACACACACACACACACACACACACACACACACACACACACACACACACACACACACACACACACACACACACACACACACACACACACACACACACACACACACACACACACACACACACACACACACACACACACACACACACACACACACACACACACACACACACACACACACACACACACACACACACACACACACACACACACACACACACACACACACACACACACACACACACACACACACACACACACACACACACACACACACACACACACACACACACACACACACACACACACACACACACACACACACACACACACACACACACACACACACACACACACACACACACACACACACACACACACACACACACACACACACACACACACACACACACACACACACACACACACACACACACACACACACAAACGTAAACAACCCTTAGCCCGTTATTATAAGTTATGATTGAATTTGTTCATTTGCAATGAAAATGAATCTTATCATTCGCTGGCAAACTGCTTGCCACTTTTTTGTAAACGTTGGCGGCAGAACTCATTTTCATTTCACGGTGAGGAGAATGCGGTACTTCCAAGGTGCTACTATGAAGTACTGCGATACGATGTAACGAGCAGGGGGATATAGCCTCCCAACGAAGGAAAATGGGGAGTGCAGGACTGAGCAGGAAGCGCACTGAGATGGAAACAAAGTAAAAGAAAAATATTTTTTAAGCACTCTTTCCGTTCCTCTTGCAAGACCGTGGTTCCCGAGTGAAGCCGGAATTGCCAGCTATCATTACAATATCATTACAATAACGGGCCATGGGTGTTTAAGTGTTTTTGTGTGTGTGTATGTCTGTGTGTCTGTCTGTATCGAAATTCATAGAGAGAGTTCCAGCAAACGTCCTGAGCCCAAATTTTGCATAGCGCATGCTGTCAGCGTAGAACTCCACCATGCAAAACCACAAGCGGATTCATTGGGTGGATCCCTCAAAACTTGCGCGTCAGACGGATCTACTTGGCTTCTGGCGCGCAAAATTGGGTCCGTATCAAGCTTTTTGCAAAGTCGCCGATGTATTCGGCATATTAATGTGCAAGCTATGTACTTTGGATCAAAAGGTGACCAAAGGTCTACTGCTTTACGAAAACAACGCTAAATAGAAGTGGTTGCTTAAATGGTCAATCCGCCGTGGTTATACCTGAGGATTTGAAAAGATTTTTGCATAGAAATGTAGCTCACGGTGATTAGTGTCCTTATAGCGGCCACCAAGGCAAAAGAATTTCCAAAACCTATCAAATTTGCATTTGTTCTTCTGCGAAAAGTTCCATCCACGCGAAATCACCGATCTCACATGAAAAAGCTCTTGCAATGAGTAGTTGTTTACATTTTATTCGTGACAGTCGGCATGGCGCGGTGAGTTTCAAAGCCATCATTAGGCGAGAATGAGTAAGGCATATAGAGTAGGACCAGTGCGAGCCTCTACGAAGCAGAGATGACGCACTGGTTCTATTATAAAGCATCTAGGCAATGCTCATGTTTGCTTTTCAGGGCAATCCTTTAATTGGACATGCTGGTTATGGATGCCAAGAAGTGAACTTTGACACGACGAATAACATTGCCATCTCATACATTAGCAACGGACTGAAAGTGGGAGCATATGATGACTGTCTTACCTATACACGATTACAAAACGCTGTTTATGATTCTTTTCGTCAATCTCGCTCTCGAGCCTCCTATTTGGATGTTTTTTTGCTTTTAATCGAATTGTGCGTTTTCTGTCTTTTTTATTGCAACTTTCTTAGAACCCACACCTTGAAGAAATAGGATCAGGTTGAGATGTCATTGACTTGCAGTTTGTTGGTATATGTAGTGTGTGGTAAGCTTCTGGTGTTCATAATTCAAGCTGTACCGCACATACAACGCCGAACTAGTCAAAAAATCGTCGTAGTTCAGTAAACTCTTGCGAGCTCTGCGGAGCTCACCGGAGTAAAAGGAAAACAACAAAGTCAAGCAGAGTCAGACAGGGTGTTATAGAACGAAGTTCGGAAAGCTGTCAAATGAATATGTGTCAGGCAGCTATGCGAAGACCTCTGAAAATAAAACAGGATCAAACGTAAAGGAGAAATAGGACCAAACATAAAAGACTTGACTGAGAGACTGAGCAAGTCGAACAATGAAAGAAAAAGGGACCCCATTTCTTTGCTTCTACTCTCATTTCAGTCTCTATAATGAGATTAAAAGCAAAGAAATGAGTTTATCCTCAAATCAGCATCTATTCCTAACAAACTCAAAAGTCACAATCAAGGAGTTTACATCTAAACATTCCTCAGTGCAAGATAACTGGAATAGTCGTTAACAACCGTCCGGAAAACACACTGAGCGAAATTTCAGGCAGTCCAAGACCATCAAGCCTTCCGAAACCTGCGACAAATTCGAGAGTGGAACGAAAAGTAATCAAATGTCGGAAGTGGTAACAGATTGGTCGAAACCATTGTATAATGTGATGGTTTAATCATGGTTACATTTTAGCAGCCATGATCATTTTTCAACGACCTCTCAATTCAGTTGGTCGTAGAAAGTTATTAAACAGAAGTAAGCAACAGGCTACCATGATTGTTTCACAATTGTTTCATTCTAAACCAAGCTATGAAGTATCCACAAGTTCACATCATTTTTTGTTATCAGGTAGAGTAATGAAAACAGCACTTCATTTCATGAGAGGCAGACGTAAAATATTATAACACTGTTTGAAATGAAAAAGTACCCTTGACCACTTTTTCATTTGAAACAATAATATGACGGTTTCACACGTCAAGAGTAGTAAGGAAGATTATTCTGAAAGTTATTAGGGTGAACTGTAAAAAATGGGGCAGCTTGATTTTTATTACATTTTGAGGTTTTTTGTCCTCACCAACAACAAGCAGGCTGCAACTCGAACGTCACTTACATGACCGACCTTCGCTTGTTATTCTGGCAACGCGTTACCGCTCCTCTTTCATAACCGTGCGCGTGGCGCCGTGAAGAACTCAGACAGGATTTTTGGAACAATTCTCAATCTTGCGCTGCTATACCGTAAACTCATAAACCAAATGACTTACCATTCGAAAGAGCTTTTCATGCTCTTTCAAACATATAAATGCATGGGATTTCTTTTCGAATTCAGAAAAAAACGAAAAAACCTGAAGAATACCGAAAAAACCTGAAATACCTTTTTATTTCTGGCGCAATAAAAAACCAAAAAATCATGTCTTGCCTCATATTTTCCAAAGATAGATAAAATTTGAAGTAAGCTACATATGGATGGATAGAGCGTAAAAAGCTCTATCAAATGGTACCTACAAAACATGCGTTTGCCTGCAAAGAATTGAATAACGCGTATCTTTGTTCTCGAAACTGCTAACAGCCATATCTCCTGACTTTGAAAGTTGAGACCATCAAGCCGTCGTGAGTCTAGTGAGTGTCCCACCACCCACTCCAGCAGTGATACTTTGGGTGGTCTCACATGTTTCATTGCGCAGATACTGCTCAATCTTCATAATTTATCAAAGTGACTAACTTTATTTCAGCAAATATAAAAATTATCAATTATGTAAATGACCTTATATAGGTACTATCTGAAAGAGAATAACACATTCTAACAACTCTCAAAATTGGAAAGTCTAATCACTTCTTTTTCTTGAGTAATCTCCAGTTATTTCGTAAGTGCCCCATTTTGTACCGATCACCCTAATATCTTATGATGTGAGTAGTCCTTTAATGCCAAACAGAGTTTGGAATGAAACTACAAAACACCTTTGATGTAAACTGTTCCAACTTAGAAGTAAAATCTTGGGTTTTTATTTTTTCCCCAAATCTAGTGGGTCTGCGTACCAGCTGATTTGGTACAAGACGCAACGAAGGATATTTCAAGCAATGCAGAGGATTGGATAGGAGAAATCGGTGGATGGCAAATATAAAAATATTAATCATGTAAATGACTTCATATAGGTATTATTTGAAAGATAATAACATATTCTAACATCTGTCAAAATTGGAAAATCTAATCACTTCTCTTTCTTAAGAAACCTCCAGTTATTTCGTAAATGCCCCATTTTTTTATCGTTCACCCTAATACTAGGGTCTCACTTAATCATTGTGAAGGCAAGGTCATGAGAAGATGCAAGGTTAGAGTCCGAACCGCAGTTGTAAAATGCAATGAAGGCGGTCAAGCATGAGTATGATTGGAGGTTCGATCCTCTTCAATGTCACCGCTTTGCTAAACCTAGACTCAGATGAAAATTTGACCATTTTTATTGTTTCCATCGGTTATTTCCAGGTTTCACTAAGAAGATAATACGAAGCAGGTGGTTACCTCGTGTCATAAAAACTTAGTTGGTTTCAACCAAATTATTAACACCGAACAATAGGAATCACCCCAACTTCTGATCACGAACATCACATTTTTTTGCAAGGTAACCAATGTAGGACTACGGTAGATTGATTTCAAATCACCATATTTACAAAGTTTGCTGAATTTTTACATAGAAATGACCCTGTCTTTTCTCACAACTAGCAAACTTCGAAAATACCTGTCGATCAAGGCTTTAAGAGCTTTCTATCTAAGGAAAGCACTGATTTACGTCCTTGAAATGCTCGTCCGCAAAACATAATTGGAGATTCAGAAAACGAGAAGACTCAAATTAAGCCCGCCAATTTGATCCGTGTGCTCAACATTTTGATGCGTGTGTGCGCTAGTGCGGTCGCTTTAAAACCGTTCTCTGATACCGGCCACTCGACCACCTTATCCATCGTCTCGATATTCGCTAGCTGTTTGCTGCTGTCCCGTGCGTTCCTCTCCCCCCCCCCCCACCCACCTAAACTTGACTATTATCCTTAGCCAGTGGTCTGACAAGCCGCTCGTAGGAATGGAGCTGAGAAAGGCGACATCCAGCAGTGGCAACCGAGTTAATGGAGTGATTCCTCGCATACTCTATTCGAGACGATCGTAAGGAGTACCTGGTCAGCTTTCGGGTGAAATTGAAGGCACAAAAGACTCACAAAGAGCGGTTTCGCTAATTCAGAGATCCTAGAGAGCAAACTTTCGGGACTGCACCCGCAGGCACGATGAGCAGAGGCTTTTTACTCTAGCTTTATCAAAGAGCTGCGGATAATGGCAAGTTAGAGGAGAAATCCAACGGTTTTTTTTTCGTACGAATCGATGAACAAGACGACAAGTCAGCCACTCAGTCGTAATGTTGAGGAGATGTAAAGAAGTACGTGTATACTCCGACGAAAGGGAATTGATTGAGGACTATGATAAGGGCAATGTATCCATTCATCGGCATCCTCCTGGGCAGCAGAAAGTTTTGCAAGCTCGTAGTGTATCATAGAGGTGAGTCTCCGCTAAAAAAGGTGGGAGATACACTCTACCGTACTCTATCATGACTCAAAGGCAGCGTCCAGGCAGATCTGGGCCTATGGGTTTTTACGTGGAAAGTACTTTTGGGGCCCTAACTAAGGCACTGCCCAAGCGGCAGCTCAGGTAGTGCTGTAATGGCTGAGATATTCCCCTCGAAACTGGACTCCGCGACCGTGATGGACCGCATGGATTCATAGCGCAAAGTGTGGATCCTGACGCGAAACTGCCATGAATCCATGCGAATACGTTCGCGGGGGCCAGTTTCGAGGGGAATATCTCAGCCATTAGAGCACTACCTGAGCTGCCGCTTGGGCAGTGCCTTAGTTAGGGCCCCAAAAGTACTTTCCACGTAAAAGCCCCATAGGTCCAGATCAGCCTGGACGCTGCCTTTAAAATAGCCGGCTAAGGGTGTTTACGTGTTTTTGTGTGTGTGTCTGTCTGTCTGTAACGAAATTCACAGAACGAGTCACAGATAAGGTTTCAGGCAGCAATTTTTTGCACAATACGCACTGCCTCCATCCAGATTCACCATGCCAAAGCACGACTAGACCCATTGAGTAGATCCCTCAAAAATCGCACCGCAAACGGATCCACTTAACGTCTGACGCGCAATATTGGGTCCGTAATACCACTTATTGCAAAGTCGTGATTGTGTTTGGCAAGTGAATGTGCAATCCCATGATCTTTAGCCCAAAAAAGTGATGGAAGTGTATTACCCCATGAAAAAGGCGCGAAAACGAATTATTTGCGTAAATGGCCAATTTGCCAGGTTTTTACTTGAGCATTTGAGAAGGTTTTTGCACAGGGATGTACAATACCGCTCATAATTCGTCAAAAAAGTCGCCGGACTGCGGCGCACTCCGCCACACTTCGCCACAGTGCGCCGGAGTGTGGCGGAGTGTGGCGGAGTGCGGCAGAGTGCGCCACACTCCGCCGCAGTGCGCCGGAATGATCGTCAATTTAGCCATATCTCGCTTCAGAATGGACGAATTCTGAATCCGAGGACACCGTTCGATTCAGCTCGACGAGACGCATCATCTTATATATGAAGCTGAACGTCTGTTTGTCTGTTGGTCTCTACGTATGTTCCGAATAGAAAAATCCATTTCTGAACCGATCCGGACCAAACTTGGCACACATACACTTCGGGCCCCGGCGGGTGTCATAGGCTACTTTTCGTCATCGATCCATATCGATTTTATCGATTTTTATCGATTTTTTTGCAGAGTTCACCTACGGGGCTGGGAGTTTGCATAGGGGGGTAATCGAGCATGGGGAATCCGAATACACTATTAGTTTTCAGGATTAACGATTATTATTTTGTTTGAATTCAGTGTGCTGATAACAGTATTACCATTGATCTGTCGCTGATGACACATAGACAGTATACTATAGGAGTATGGTAGAGAGCCACTCTGATCAAATTTGTTCTAAGATCTGCTCAAGATCACAATACCGCGCACAGAATGTCAAAATTTCCGTGAACTTCACGGAATTCCGGGATTTCGAAAGTGCGCGATAATCCGGGAAGTTCGCGACATTTCAGGACCCGCGAAACCATGCGAATAACGCAGAGTACGCAACGCCATAACTTCCTTCGGAATGAATATATTTCGAATCCAGAAGCAGCATTGTGTTCAGATCGTCGAGGCAAATATTTTGATATACAGTATGCTCTCGATATTCCAATTCCAGTTTTTTTGAATTTTTTCTGTGGAGGTCTTTTCGCAAGGATGCAACGCAGCGTCTGTGTAACATAAAAGATTCCAGTAAGCACTGTTCGATAGTACTGTCCTTGTAGGTTATCTCGCGTTCAAGAGTAGCTGCAGACTGCCTCCCAAAAGAGATGGAAGCGTTGGTGAATTTTGGAAAAATCACGCGTTTCTAAATTCTACTCGCCGTAACTTCCTTCGGAATGAACACATTCTGAATCCGAAGAAAGCCTTGTGCTCAGTTCATCAAGGCAAGTCTTTCGATATACAGCGTATCCTTGATATTCCGATTTCAATATTCTCAAATCTTTCTGTAGACGTCTTTTCTTGAAGGTGTAAAGCAGCGCGCATTGCCCCTAGTAGACTCCAGCAAGGACCTTTCGATAGTACTTTTTCTGTAGATTACGTAGCGCTAAAAAGTAGTCACAGGCATCTTTCCATAGGAGTTAGAAGGGTTGGTGAATTCTGGAAAAATCACGTCGTTCTAAAATTTTCTCAACGTAACTCTAAAATATGAAGCTCTCTTGCTAAGCAGATGTGATTTTCGTAATCACCAGATCGGATAACCCTTATAAGCAAGTTCTCCAAGATGTTCGAGTAATTTCATTTTTTCTCGTTTTACGCTCTGAAGCTGGCCGATGGATTTTGGTCAAAATGTTCATGCTCTTAAATTGTAAGGAAACTTCGCTTATAGAGGTTTTCGAACACGCTCTTTACGAAAATCGTGGTCTTTGAGGATTACAGGGTCTTCTTGGAGAGATACGGTGAGGTGACTGTAACTGCATCACGAAAGCTCGTAACTTCGCCTCCACCTCTCACGTGTCTGTCAAAGAACCTGCCTGCTTGCTTTACTAGTCAAAGTTACTAGAAGATGTGCTATCGAATGCCGCAAACTCAGGCTCCAGTCTATAAAATTCGCCGAGTTACGAGCCTATGAAAACACGTTCTCATGAATTTTGCTCAAAATGTAAAGATCGCAGATTTCGTCGAAATTCCACCGTGAGTGCTTGTATGACACTCGCATTGCGGATATTATGTTCGCTTCGCTCAATAACTCCACTGTATTGAATATGGCGCTTGCGTGTGCTTCAGCAATTGATATCAAAACTGTTTTGTGGCTAGAGCTCAAACCACCGAATCTCACAATGAGATCCATTAAGAATGTGAAAAGATTTGATCAGCGTGTTGTACAAGCACTCATGGTGGAATTTCGACGAAATCTGCGATCTTTACATTTTGAGCAAAATTCATGAGAACGTGTTTCCATAGGCTCGTAACTCGGCGAATTTTATAGACTGGAGCCTGAGTTTGCGGCATTCGATAGCACATCTTCTAGTAATTTTGAATAGTAAAGCAAGCAGGCAGGAGTACTCTGCGTTGATACCACTGCTTAGGCGAAGTTACGAGCTTTCATGCAGTTACAGTCACCTCACCGTATCTCTCCAAGAAGACCCTGTAATCCTCAAAGACCACGATTTTCGTAAAGAGCGTGTTCGAAAACCTCTATAAGCGAAGTTTCCTTACAATTTAAGAGCATGAACATTTTGACCAAAATCCATCGGCCAGCTTCAGAGCGTAAAACGAGAAAAAATGAAATTACTCGAACATCTTGGAAAACTTGCTTATAAGGGTTATCCGATCTGGTGATTACGAAAATCACATCTGCTTAGCAAGAGAGCTTCATATTTTAGAGTTACGTTGAGAAAATTTTAGAACGACGTGATTTTTCCAGAATTCACCAACCCTTCTAACTCCTATGGAAAGATGCCTGTGACTACTTTTTAGCGCTACGTAATCTACAGAAAAAGTACTATCGAAAGGTCCTTGCTGGAGTCTACTAGGGGCA